TTCTTGTTCCGATCCCTGTTCGTAAATAAATGCCTCGTGTTGCACGATTGCGTAAACGCGGTCGGTGGTCTTGGCTTGGCTTGACTTGACTTGGTCCGGCTTGGCTTGGCTCGAATTGGCCGGTGCCCGCATTCCCGCATGGCGCGCGCGCGTGCGGCGTGCGGCGTGCGCGCGTTGTAAAAACACAAAAGCGATAAAAATGCTTTTTTATGTTTTCTATTCGCCCCTTCACGGGCCCCATGGCTAGAAAATGCCCCTCCACACCCCCACTTCTTTTTCCATTGGATCTTTTGCATTGAGCCAGAGGGATGGCTTTCTCCTCTGGCTTTCTCCAGACTCGCGCGCCTCGTGGCTGAACTCGATTCCGAATGCGAGGTGCGTTTTGGAGCACGTAATTTCGAAAAAAAAACTCGCGTTATATTCGTGCAAATATGGTACTCTGTTCAGAACTTTAGTTCGGAAAAAAAGGCATTGTGTCTCTTTTGTGCCCTATTTTTTGCCCTATCTACTCCTATTGCAAAAAGGTAATATATTATATGGTATGCTTCAGTATCAAAAAAGAATTCTTAATCATTATCGAATATGAACTCATGTAGCAATGAAAAACTCGCCACTTTCAAGTGATGTAACAGATGTTGGCATCTGCTCCAAAAGCGGCAGTGGCTGCTCCAAAACAATATATTTTGCTGCCTGCGGAACCTGTTACAAAACGTCAAATGCCGCTACCATCACTGACTGTGTGTCATCTGCTAATAGAGTAGAAAAAAAGTTGATCGTCTGCCATGGACTGAGCACCGCTGTGAAGTGAGATCGGATGCAGGATGAAATTGTGATCATCTGTTATTTCACGTCGGAAGCCATCGACAAGTAGTGTTTCGTTCGCAAATCTCAAGTTGCTCTGTTGCCGCACAGAAGCTGACACCGACCACTGGATGAAGGAGTACTATTAAGGGCAAGCACATCAGAGGCGGAGAGGCGTCTTTCGCTGTTTGAATTGGTGAGACGTTCTCATCAAAATATTGCTCGATTGTGAACTCGTGAAAAGCTCAAAAATGTCTCATTGGTTGATTACGCTTGAGCTTTGGCACCAAGTCAAATCAGCAGCCGAGAACGCTCTCATTCTCACCTTGACCTAAATTGGATTTAGTCTGGTTAAACTCTTCCCCCGCTGGATTTTCTCACACGCGTATGCTTGATGAGCCAGCATATGATTCCCTGAGCTACAATATGGTTTCTACATAACTGTGTATGAAGTTGTTGGTAAAGCACCCTTTGAATCACTTTTATATGTTTGCGCACCACGGTTGCTGGAATTTTAGACCTTGGTATTTTCACCTCGGCCAAGGTGAAGACAAAGAAGTTTTGGACGAAGAACCTCGACATACCCATGACTGTTAAATAGTTTGTTGCTGGGCGAGTTGGTGGACGTTTGGATACATGGTTTTGCGCAAAAAACACGGACACAAGAGAGAGAAACAAACACGAGCACAACTTACAACTGTATTGAGCAAATCTTTAGAAAACATACAGATATATCATCAACTTCAATGTGTCCACGCATGCATCGTGTCACTATCACACGCTCGTCACAGAAACTTATCAAGGAAGCGTTTCTCAGCAATACACAAACTTATCGAGGTATCGCTTACACATATGTCGCCTTTCTTTTTGATAAAGAACGCTTCCAACAGCTCACGTGCTTTTTGCCCCTTACTTCCGGCCAAAATTACAGTGTCAGAAAAACGTGGCTCACATTTACGGTTTCTGCAGTGTGCAGGCAAATGTGCCCCAGCTGCAAAACAAAGGCTGCAAAACAGAGGTCGTCTATGAAATCCCGCTCACGTGTGGGAAGACATACGTGGGGCAAACGGAAGGTGTGCCAACGACCGTCTCAGGGAGCATGCTCAAAATTTAAAGACTAATGAAGGGGCACATTTGCCTGCACACTGCAGAAACTGTAAGTGTGAGCCACGTTTTCCTGACACTGTAATTTTGGGCGGAAGTAAGGGACAAAAAGCAGGTGAGCTGTTGGAAGCCTTCTTTATCAAAAAGAAAGGCGACCTATGTGTGGACGATACCTCGATAAGTTTGTATAATGCTGAGAAACGCTTCCTTGATAAGTTTCTGTGACGAGCGTGTGATAGTGACACGACGCATGCGTGGACACATTGAAGTTGACGATTTATCTGTATGTTTTCTGAAGGTTTCCTCAATACAGTTGTAAGTTGCGCTCGTGTTTGTTTCTCTCTCTTGTGTCTGTCTTTTTTGTGCAAAACTATGCATCCAATACCCATGACTGCAGATGCGAAAAATTCTTTGTTTGCTTTGCCACAAAGTGGAGTGCAACAGTTTAGACTATGGTCTTATGCGATGCCTGAAGCAACTGGAGGAGGCATGAAGCAGCTGAAAAAATTTGTCTTCTTGCTCTGACTAATTTTCATTATATAGCTTATGGAATGTGCTGGTTGGCTAATCCTGCAATCACATTGTCTAGTCCATAAACTAAGGTCTGCCTGGACATTTGCAGTGTTGTTCATGGTGGCTTTGTCTTCTGCCTGGTTTTCAGGTTGTCTTGAAACTGGCAGTTTGTGAAAAAATTGGGCTTCATTGATGGCCTTTTTTGTTTGGTTACATTAGGAGTGCAGATGTTCTCTCTTCAACCTCCTTTATGTTCTCTGCTTCAACATTGGTGGCAAATGTGCTCCACTCGTTGATGCTGATATTCTCCAACTTCTACAAAATACTGCTAAGGCACCTTTGGCCGTGAATTCCTCATAGTCTGCCTGGCAATCAGGTGCTTTCTTTTCTGTTTAGAGGGCCAAGATCTTTACAACTAAAACCACTAACTTTCAGCACATTAACTTCTGTCAGCAATATGTGGTCTTTACGAAAGCCATGTCAAAATCATTAATTATATCCACCAGATGAGGAATTCAACAACTCAGCAGTGGATGCCTTGCTGCACATTACTGTTACTCTCAGTTGTAATGTGCAGCCATCCATCACCAGTATTTCTAGTGCATAGCAGCGTGAAAAGGATATTTTCCTTTTTAATTCATCTTCCAACCAGTTGGTGCTGAAAGGTGCATTACTAGAGATTTTCTCTTTGATTTTCTTCCCGTCTGTGATTTAACAACAGGACTGCTTCATCCTGTAATCCGTGCCCTGTTCTGTTTGCGAGATCTTGTAGCAGAGCAGGTTATGAACCTGTTGGGCATGATACAAATACTTTATTCTAGGACTGAGAACCGCGCAGGGATGGTGTCCTTCATGAGCTCCAGCATCTGAATCGGTCCTTTCATAGCTGTCAGCTATACTGGCCCTTTAGCTTATTGTCGTTTTCTTTCTGCACAGTCTCTGCTACTACATTAATCTTGTCGGGCAGAAGTGCAAGAGCATCAGGTGCTTTGCATTGTCTGGTGGTACTATTCTGAACACGGAACGCATCTGCTTTTTTTAGCTGACCATTATGCAATTTGATCAACACTGACAATAAACCAAAACCAATGAAAAAAAAAGTATATACTAATATATATATATATATATTTTTTTTTCCTCTTTGAAAAAATAGTTTTTTTTTTTTTTTTCTGATTTCGTTCCTTTGTTGTGTGAATTCTAGACTATCTATAACTGTTGAGTATGTTTTTAAACCGATCAATTTATGAGCGTTTTTATTTAACTTAGTGATTTGCTATATGTTCATTATTGTTTATTTATTTTAGGAAGCAGTAACACATTTTTTTATCGAAATGTTTTTAAATGTAATTTGTTTTCCATACTACTAACACGCGCCAGTTTTAAGTCTTTATGTGGTAGTATGTTTTTGAAAATAAAAGTTTGTCAGCTCTTTAGACCATTTTAATGCACTTTTAAAAACACGTAAATGCGTAAAAAAATATTGTATAATTTTGAACAATATCTTGAACTACTAAAAGCAGTTTTTATTTTGCAGTCTCGTTTCGAACTTGTTTAAAAACAAAATTCGCTTTCTACCCCTCGGAACCTCTTTTCCAAAAAAAAATCTGTGTAAAAAAAAATAGTTATAGCAAAAATATTCTGGAGAAGCTATACTTGTACATCACCAACAGCGTATAATTTTTTTTTTAGACTGACTCCGCGTGGGTCGAATTTAGGCATGGATCTTTTGGCGTGAAATGAACCGATGGCGATTCCTTGAGAATTCGTTTTGTGCGGATTTCAAAGTAGTCTGATCATTAATTTTAACGTGAGTAGGAATAATTTGGAAACTAAGTTTGAACCTATCAAGCTTTGTTTCAGACAGGGGTTTCCCCAGGAATTGAAATTAGGGGGGGGGGGGGGGAAAGGGGGTGTGTAAATTTTTAGAGGGCGGGGGTGGTGTGGTTAGAGGGGAGGGGGGGGGGCATTGAGAATAGAGGAGTCGTTGCGAATTAAGGGGGTACCTTCAGAAAAACAAGGGGGGGGGGGGTGTACAGTCCCCCTAGGGAGTGTGTAGGGAAATTACGAAGTGCAATAGGTTGGGACACTAGAAGCGCTTCGAAATATATTTTTTCTACACTGCCTGGGTTCACTATATTTGTCATGAAATCATTTTCTTCAAAGAAAAAAGAATGGACTTGATATTCCGTTTCCATGAATTCTGAGAAACCACGAACTACTTTTCATAACTCAGTTCCTTATAGAAATCACTGTCAAAGATATCCAAACCGAAGAAAGCTGAAAATTAATAAAATTACAATCATGATTACCTGGTGCGCAGTACACCCGAGTTAGTAATAAACGCCATTCACAGCTGGCAGAACTCACGTTAATGTCAGAGAGCTTGCCATGGCATTTTTTCTGATCTCTAATATGAACCACTCCATATTTTCTATACATGTTGTACGAAGTGGTGAAAATCTTCCGAAGAAATAGCTTTTTTCTTGGATACTGTTTTAGGGAATGATTTTGTGATTGGAGATGAGGCACTTCGCGCAACCAGTGCAGTGAGTGTGTGGGTGCTGTTTTGTGTTTTGCAAAAGGAGCGGTGTCCACGGTGCTGGACAGCCTGGACGACATCCACTGCCTGACGGACTGCTCCGAGAGAGACCGGGACTTCCTGCTCAGCGTCCTCGAGGACTCCCAGCTACACGCCTTACTAGACGTGAGTGCACGGCCCTCGGCCTCCCTTCCCCGGCCGTTTTCGGTTTCAGGTGTCGCGTCGTCCCAACCTTCCGACTCTCGACGGCGGCACTAAACCGGACGGCGCTGCGTAGTCTTCATCCTGTCCTACATTTTCAGGCGGCGCCATTCTCGGTTCTTTCGGGAAAACGATCAAAAGACTGGTCGTGCAAAGACGTTTCAAATTTAGCGACTCATACTGCGAAAGAGCGGAGTCCGGGCATTTGAATGCGTGCGACATTAGTGTTGTTGTGGCAGGTTAAGAAACCAGGACAAGATCCTCCTGCACCCTTTCGAAATTCTGCCCTCTGTTGGCAGTTGAGGAATCCCTGCACAACGGCGAGCTAAAGCCGCAACATCACTGCACACTTTTTGCTTTTCGTTGGATTAGAAGACGAAGGCGAAAACTCACCGACAAAAAAGGCGATGAGCTCAATGACTGTGCACTTCTCAAGCTGTTCGAGTATACACTCGTCGGCTTCCATCGTTGGCCGCGCTATATACTACGTTCGCTATCTTATGGAATGACTTGCGCGTTCCACGATGTCAGTTGTTCCACCATTGTGCAGTGGTTCTTTTCCTTCGAATATTCGATACGTGACTTTCGAAAAGGGTCGTTGGAGAGGAAGCGAGTCCCTATTTACCTGCCTTCCAGCGTTTGCCTGGTTTGCTTCGCGAGAGAGTAGAGTGGAAAGCGTTGCGGGGACGCTGGTTTCTTCAATCTGTTGTATGTCAAGAAAAGTATGTCATGATCCTCCTGCAAATCTGGCTGAGCCTTTCAAGCGTTCGCTCTGCCACCGCGCTATCGCATTAGAGGAGTACGAATCTGTGTGTGCCGCTGTTTCGTACCGACATGGGACAGAACACCGCGACGCGAAGCGCAACTAGCCTTACTAACCCAGAAGGAATGGCACAAGAATGGTCGTGCTCGAGGAGGCTCGGCGTTGAAGCGATGGAGTCCTTGGGGGGGCGTCTGCAGATGCTCTCGTGCCCCGCGCGCTCGGATGCAACAACAGCCTAAAAAAAAGTAGGTCTTGTGGACGGCGCCGTTGATGGGGTGACACACCGGGCCACGGCGGTGCCTCAATTTGAGCAATGGGCCTCGATTCCTTAGACGTAGTAGCTTTGACTGGGTTATCTCCTTGGATCCTGATACTTCGACCCCAGTGAGCAACAGCGCCGCCATGCTCCTGGGGCTCCTTTTTACTACATGCACCGATCGAATGGCGTGCCAGATCGCCATGGCTCGCTGCTGACCCGTCCTCAACAAATCTAGACTTCTGCGAATCGGACTGCCATCCTCCACATTACCAGCAATCCATCTCGTCGTCATCTTGCATCCATGGTACGGACTGCTGCCTTTCTGCGGTGCCGCGGCTCTCCAGAGCCAAATAAAGATCATAATCATCATCATCATCATCATCATCATCATCACGAAATGCTGTGGTGGGACGCGCAAGAACGACCGCCGCGTGCTAGACGATTTTTGACTGAATTTTCCTGACATGTACTTGGAGGAGTACCGGAACCTGTATCGCGTCAGCCGGGAAAAGTTCCTCCAGGTTCTTTGAGGCGTTGAACCAATTATCACGCGACAGAACGGACCGACGAACGGTCAAAACCGCCAAAACAATGAAGGGTGCGTCATCTTCGTTTTGATCATTTGGGACGAATGGCTGGACGGATGGATGTCAGTGCATATCCTTTGTAACGTGCGGTATCTTACGATACCTAGCCTAAGTCTATAAAGACAATCGTATGATTCTCCCGCTCTTCTAAGAACAATTTCCTTCTATCATGAGGCACTGTGGGATATCACCAGGATGACCTTTGAGAAATCAAAAAAAAAAAATCCCTTCCGCTTCTTCCCTCCGGCGAGGGAGTCGCCAATTTTTCTCTGGTCAAACCTTGTCGGCGTATTACCCCAGCACCTTACCCAGACAGTGTTGAGACTTTGGGTGGGAGCCACGCTGGAAAGAGTCTCAATTTTCCTCTTTCCCGCCTGTCCCCAGGTGTGCTGGAGAGTTGTGCATCATGCGGTTTTCCGTAGGTAATTTCCACCGATCTTCTAATCGCCTCTTTGTGACTAATCCTTTTCTCTTCCGTCCTTCCATCGTCGTCAGCACAACCTAGGCTCGTGGACGAGGAATTTTACTTAATTACCATACTGTGACGATTATTCGCACCTCGAATGTCCGCCGAGCTCAAGAAACATATACTGAAGGCGGTATCCATGTAACAGTAAAGACGCCTTTAAAAAAAATAAAGTGTTTCGAATAAAAAAAAATATTCCCCTGTATAGTGGAACCAAGTCCTCGGAACTGAAGGAAAGCCAATTGAGACAGCCCTACGCCTGTTTTCTTCTGAGTGACTCTAAGGAATGCATTGCAAAGTAACTTTTGAAGTAGTTTTACTTATAGTTCAAATCTCACACCCACTAATGTTATAAAAGTAATTAGATTGAAATGTGGGAGAGTCCGTTTTGATGGTAAGAGTTCAAATGTGAAGTACCAAGTCCTGTGCCGACAATCGTCTAACGCATGGGCTGAATCGTTCGCGGGCGCCGGACGTGCGGTTGCGCCACACTTTTTTTCGTTATCCTCTTTCTTAAGGCCTCGCAAGGTTTCATTCCTTTTTTTGGAAATATGGACAGTTTGCTTGGTCTGTTGGTTTTGCTCACCGTGCTAACGGAATAATCAATGTTTCGGATTAGACTTCTGTCACTGCTCTTGGTGCTCACTATTTTATTACGCCGGCAAAAAAAAAAAAATAATAATAATAATACTTTAAATTTTTTGTTTTATGTCGACCATGTGGTGCTGGCATTCCCGATTTCAATATCGCGAGATGCGTCCTATCTCCGATCGGGCGTCATTATTTTGGACATATGACACTGGGCGGGAGCTCAGACTCGACTGCTGCCCCGAAGATAAAAAGGGCGGGGTGGCAGATGAGGAGTAAAAAAAAAAGAAAACAAAAAAAAAAAAAAAAGACGAGGAACGGGTATACGCTCTACGCAGCTACCGCTTCCTCCATTTCGTTCAATTTTTAACGCACGCATATCGCACTATATCCATCGTGTTCAGATCCTTGTTCGGAATGTTGGAACGCGCCTTGTATGTTGATTTTGAATATTTTAAAGTGATGAGCGCGGCTGTCGGCATATCTCTAATGAATGACTAACGTGATGGCGGACCGTCGTCGAACTCCGTCTTCCGTTCGTTGATCCCGCGGAGAGCTGTCCAGCCTGCATTCCCGCCTCTTTTCGGAATGTGAAAGCAATTCAGCCATTAGACTTGTTCACTCATTGCTGTTTCTAAGTTAAACGTTATATACCTACGCGTGTCCAGAAATCGCATTGATTGCTTCTCGTTTCCTCCGAGTGACAATGAACGTGTTGACCCTGCTCAGAAATTAACGACACAGGGGACAGAGCCACGGTATGAGAATACTGACGTCGCCATTGTTGTGAGTATACTCGGCCAAGGATGTTCCCCAGACGCTTCCATCGCAACTCCAGAGGAGGAGACGTTGCTGCTTAGCGGAGACGACACGAATGAGAGAAGCAGGGAGCTACCGCCTATTTCAGTGTACAGCGAACACTAGCGGAACCTGGCGGCGTACATCTGAAACAGATTAACGGGGATTAAATCCGCGCTAGTGGAGGCGACGCCGCCTAGCGGAGAGAACGTGAAGGAGGGAAACGGGGGAGTAATGGACTATGCAAAAGTCCGCAGCGAAATCTGGCGCAGCCTGGCGGCGAACATGTGAAAGAATGGAACGGGGATTAAATGCGCGCCGTTGGGAGTCGCAAATAGGCGTTCTTCGAAAGCTCTTTCCCGTGTCGGGTGAACCGCGGCTCGGAGGCGCGTCTTGGCCTGAGAGGCCATCGGAGGGTCAATTGGGTGGGGGGCGGTGGAGGGGTGATTGGTCGTCCGATCGTTTGTCTTGACGCCGGCTGCGTGAGGCCCATTTTTCGCTGATGCCAGCCCGTAGCCTTCTCTTCGGCCCCCTCCTTCCCTTCTCGAAGAACTTTAGCGTCCCTCGGTGCTTATTAGCACTTTGTCTGGGGATTGCCTGTCGCTGTTCGATTGTCTGCTCTCGAATTAGCTGCCCGCATGGAACGGTTCGACGGAGTTCCCAAATTGTGTCTGCTCGAAAGATTCGTCGATTCATCTTGGCTCGCTTGCCGTACTACGAACGACGGCTGAGCAAAGTGTGTACAGCGAAGTGTTTCTAGCGAAACGTTTACAGTGCAATGCCTATTAATGAAATCTATGCAGCACATTATCTACAGCGAATCATCTGCAATGAATTATCTACAGCGAAATGTTTGCAGCAAAACGGTCTGTCACGAAATGTCTGCTACGTATCGTCCACAGCGAAGTGTTTACAGCGAATTGTCTACGGAGAAATCTCTGCAGAGATTTGTTTACGGCCACAATGTTCACAGTGGAGTGGTGGAACTGCTGCACCGACTGCGTCAAACTTCGCCAGACCGAATAACCTGCTACATGATGCTCCAAAGGCTGTATTTGCGCACAATTTGCGCATGTCTCTGCGCCGAAAGGGTGCTGTTCCCGAAAAGGGAACTGAAAGCGTCTGGCCCGTGACATTGTTGGCGATGCCACTGAAAATTAAGAAAGTACACTTGTTTTTTTTATGCCTAAGTACTATGTGCGGAGAGTAGGGTTGTGCGAATATTTTAATTTTCTGATAGTAGTTTCAAATAATAAATTATTTGATATTTGCTTCCAACTGAACTGCGATATTCATACTTTTCGACGTGTTAACCGCGGCGGGTTAGCCCCCTTGAGTGCGCTTCTCCTCAAGCACCGGGACACTGCCGAGAAGCAATACCCGCAAAGCGCACGCAGCGATCTCGCGACTCGCTTCGCCGCAGCGCAGCCACGCGCGTAAGCGAAAAACACAGTTTTAAACTAGTATGGTGCAGGCGCGCATTCCGTGTATTAAAAACACACA